TCCACCGCATTTATCTAGATGTTAACTAAGTGGCATCGTTCTTTGATTTGGATGTTTGTTTTTTATCATTTGTATTTGAACATTTTTTGGTAGAGTTTTGTGTTTGATGTTTTGTGTTTGAAGATATGTTGAGCTTAATTTGTGTTTGTAGATTTTTAGCAAGAATTCTATTAATTCAATAATTGGAAAACCGAATGTTTATCAAAGAATGTTCATTATCAGTACAAATGATTTTTGTATACAATTATTGACTAGCCCGAAGATGAAACTATCAAATTCCGTCTATCTAGGGAAGCCCATTGGATTGAGACATTAAATACAGCAAGACCTATAGGACTAAATATTCATCATAATGTAGGCATAGCACCCTTTATTGTCCCGTTCAATACAACCAGCAATCGAGCAAGCAAGATAGTTCATTCCCACTATAAGAGCCTTCAAGATAAATTCCCTCATGTTTATAAGCAGAAAATGATAGTTGCATATTCAAAAAATAAGAACTTAAATGATAATATTGTTCATAGAAAGCTAAAAACAATCAGTACATAACAGATACTATACTTCTAGCCCATTGGGCGAGATATTTTTTTCTAATTTCAGATCAGAATAAGAACAAAAGAAAACCCAATATCAAGACCCTTACCTCCAATTTCTAAATAAAGTGTCTGTTCCACCCTAGGCCTGTACATTTGGAAGAATCAAACCCTCCCTTCCCCGAAATCTAAATCATTCGCAAACGATGTTTATTTTACATTATTTGTATCGGATATTTTTCTCTAACCCTTTGCCATCTTGTATTAAGTGGCCTTTCTTCTTTGTGTTTTTTACATATCCTTCATGGTAGAATCAAAAATTGTAAATTTGCCATTTTCTCCAATGTCATCCAATCTAGTGGTCATCGCTGAGTGCAGTTTGAGGTTTTGGTCAGTATATCACATTTTGGACACCGAACCGTCAGAGTTGATCCAAAAATCATATGTGTTTGAAGAAAAGGGAAATTATGTTTAAGTTCGCACTAAATCCCAATTATTATCTATTAACTAAAACAGGCAACGAGACCTTAAACAATGGCTTTTGAGCCTCTTGATACTCTTAGCCTGTTAGATTTCATCCGAGGTGCTTTTAATCCTATAATTTGTGAACAAGAAAATAAAACTCTAGGTCATGAATAAAAATTACAGTGTTTTTTTTTTGTACGAGTTCTCTCCCTTGAAGTCGAAATCGACACAAATAAAAAAGAAAAAAAAACACAAACAGGGAAAGAAAATCACAAATAAGACAAACTCTTGTCATTTCTCGTTGACTGTTCATTAAGGCTGACGGTTTTCGTCTTGTATTTTTCTTTA